GAAAGTCACCGTAAACGTGAACACAATCAGTTAAGATCCGAAATGGTTTATTACGTCCTTTCAATGATTGCCGAGCCAGAATCCATCTTCTCGGTTGAAATTGTCTGTGTTTGTATATGTGGATCGCCTCATGAACAAATCTCTCATGGTAGCCAGAGGGCTTGCAGAGAACATCTGTCTTGGAGAAGTCAATGTCATGTGAGCCCACTGAATTGTAACAGTGATCTGCCACGGCTGAGGTGTTTGTCCTCCCGTGTTTCAGGTCTGCTTTATGTTCACGGATGCGGTCTGAGACATGTCGTTTGGTTTCTCCAATGTAACTGCTACCACAGAGGCAACTTAGTTTGTAGACGCCAGGGTACTGTATGTCTGGAACCACATCTTTTACAGACGGGACCAGATCACGGACTTTATGTACCATGTTGAATCGGACCTGGATCTTGTGTTTATTCAGGATTTTGGAGATCTTTTTTGTGACCCCCGTAATGTAGGGTAAGGTGATGGTTTTGAATGGCTCCTCAACAGGATCCTTCTTGATGGTTGGAGTGATGGCTTTACGGATTGTGTAGTCGGAGTAACCATTAGCCTTGAGACAGACCTGTTCTTCACCTGAGGACGGCTGCTTGCGTTGTGGTCGAAACGTCGTGAGAATTGTATTTTATTAGGTTTTATTTTTATTCTTTTATTATTTCCCTTCTACGCGACTTTGCCGAAAGAACCAAGAAGATGAATCCCTGCAGTCACGAAAGCTTTAAATCGAAATTGTTATTGTTCATAGTCACTGCTTATGATTGTATTGTAGTTAGGGGTCGGTCACTGGTCACTATAGAGTTGTGTTAGGTGTTGTCATGTTGCGTGCGCACGAGGGATGTATATTACAGCCAGGACGGCTGCGTTTTTATTCGTGGGGGGGGGGGGATGATGTAGTGTGGTGAAATACGCGGTGCGCACAGGATCCAGGTTCGTTTCAGCACAGTACACAAAATCCGTGATTTAATGCCATGTGTAAAGGATGTGATTCCTGACATGCAATACCCTGGTGTCTACAAACCGAGTTGTGGTTGTGGCAGCAGTTACATTGGGGAAACGAAACGACATGTCTCGGACCGCGTTCTTGAACACAAGGCAGATCTGAAACACGGTAGGACCAATACCTCTGCCATTGCTGATCATCGTTTTAACGCTGTGGGCTCACACGAAATTGATTTTTCCAAGACGGAGGTACTCTGCAAATCTACCGGCTACCTTAGACATTTATTCATCAAGCCATCCAGATATATAAACACAAACACAACTTCAACCGAGAAGATGGGTACAAACTGAGCAATCATTGGAAGGACGTTATTAACCAGCTAAAGTCTTAACTGACTGTGATGGTTCCGTCCTACCTGCCTATGTCAGCTGTTATTTCTGACTCTCTGTCTCTCTCTCTCTCTCTATGCCTGTCTTTGAGATCTCTCACATGTCCTTTGGATTGTACTCTCATGCTCACGTGTCCTTTGGATTGCACTCTCATGCTCACATGCCCTTTGGATTGTACTCTCATGCTCACATGTCCTTTGGATTGCACTCTCATGCTCACATGCCCTTTGGATTGCACTATCATGCTCACGTGTCCTTTGGATTGCACTCTCATGCTCACATGTCCTTTGGATTGCACCTCTCATGCTCACATGCCCTTTGGATTGCACTCTCAAGTTCACGTCCTTTGGATTGCACTCTCATGGTGCTAATCTCTCATTAACAATGCTGTTGTGCGCACATGCGGGCATGATACTGTGATGCGGCAACGGAAGCTCATTCATGCTAATCTCCATCCCTAATCCCTCTCCCCCTAATCTCCCCCATTAACACAACTGACGTGCTTGCGTCCGGGGGTGGAATTCCTTTCAATCTCAGACTCCGCTTGCTTGCCCATCGCCACAGAGTATCGGTGCAGTGTGATTTGTGTGTGTGGAACAGCTGCGTGGGCGGACGAGCAGCGAGGGAAGACCTGCAGCACGAGCGCTCGTTAAATTAATCGCCTGCAGGTGCGCGCGTGTTTTTGCCGCTGCTGTAGTGCTAACCGTGGGGTGTGCGTGTGTTAGAATACAAACGTCAGCCGACGCGCGCGTGTTCGCGCAGCCGTTTTAGAGCGCGTCTTAGTGCGGGTGCGGGGCAGCGCACAACCTCCTGCCAACGCGCGCGTGTTCGCGCAGTCGCTGTAGTGTTAGCTGTGGGGGCGTGTGTGCGTTGCAGTATAATTGCCCGCAGGAGCGCGAGCATTCGCAGGTGCTGTAGCATTAGCGTCGGTGTGTGTGTGTGCGGAGTAACCCCGTGTGGCGGCGAGCCAGCAATTTAGCGATGTCCCTCAGAGGGGGCGCTAACACGGGGGGGCCTAGCACCCGGTCGGCGGGGGCCCGGCGGGGGCCCGGCGGGGGCCGATCGACGCGGTGGAGGAGGAAGCGGAGGAGTGGAGGGGGCGGACATCGCACCCTACTTGCCCAGCATACCTGAGCGGTATTATCTTTTCATCGACTGCGTAATGCTGTATGAAAGCTACCTGGCATATCACTCCATACCAAGCTTTGGGTCTTCTCAGCCACAATTATATTTTCCCTTCTCTATACTCGAAATAATATCTGTGCCGGTATTTAACATTCAGGCTGGCCGTGCCTACGATCCATCCTGGGTTAAACCAGGCTGGATTGTGTTAAGAGCTCACAAATCCTTTAAAGATCTGGAGACAGTGCCATCAGTAAACTGCTCCGGCAGGCTAGGCTACATTGGCTGGGTCAGGTAACCTGCTTCAGTTTCAGCTTCATGTATTTGGTATAGCTCTTTGGTTCTTTTGGTAAAGTCACGTATAAAGATAAAATAATAAATTATCATCAGGTATAAATGAAATAGCAACAAAAATCTAACCAGAAAACTATAGACAGACATATAAGCAGACAGATATCACCAAGATACAGAGAGAGAGTAACACATAGGCACAGAGAGGGAGATCGTCTCTGTGGCGAGGCCTTAAATAGACAGAGGGGGGCGGGGGCGGAGAGAGGGAGGGGTTAGAGAAAAAATTAACATGTCAATGAGTACGGCGACGCGTGGTCAAGTACGCAAGCTTGAACATTAGGAAAGAGGGAGAAAGAACATACTAAATTAAATAACTTAGCAAAATATCGAAATGTTATGTAATACAACACAGAGAGTCGGTCAACACACAACGCATAGCCTGGTCGATTACGTATTTCAAAGATTGCTAAGTTAGAATTTAAGTGTGAAAATTCCAAAGAGAGACAAAACATAAAACAAGAGGAACGGAGACAGACAGAGCAGAACATAAGAACGACAAAAAACGAGTGTAGACAGAAAAAGTACACTAAATACACAGGCAGAGAGAGAAAACAAAAAACCCAGAGAGAGAGAAAAAGATAAACTTGAAACTTCCCCGTAGAAGTGGTTCGATCTTAAATTTGGAGCTTTCGTGACTGCAGGAATTACTCTTTGGTTCTTTCAGTAAAGTCACGTATAAAGATAAAATAATAAATTAAATAATAGCATACAACGTTTCGATTGCAACACACGCAATCATCATGTATTACATAACATTTCGATATTTTGCTAGGTTATTTAATTTAGTGTGTTCTTTCTCCCTCTTTCCTAATGTTCAAGCTTGCGTACTTGACCACGCGTCGCCGTACTCATTGACATGTAAATTTTTTCTCTAACCCCTCCCTCTCTCCGCCCCCGCCCCCCTCTGTCTATTTAAGGCCTCGCCACAGAGACGATCTCCCTCTCTGTGCCTATGTGTTACTCTCTCTCTATGTATCTTGGTGATATCTGTCTGCTTATATGTCTGTCTATAGTTTTCTGGTTAGATTTTTGTTGCTATTTCATTTATACCTGATGATGATTGCTTGTGTTGCAATCGAAACGTCGTATGCAATTATTTAATTTATTATTTTATCTTTATACGTGACTTTACCGAAAGAACCAAAGAGTAATTCCTGCAGTCACGAAAGCTCCAAATGTAAGATCGTATTTGGTATAGCCCTGTGAGCCATTCGGCTCTTGAATCGGGTGCAACCGCAACAAACAAAAAACAAAAACATGAACAAAAAAACATCTTAAAGAGACTATGTGCAAATCTTAAAGTGACCACGCGCATAACCCAACCACCGTATACCCAAGCAGCTTCTGTTTGGATGGATAGGGGGGGTGGCTAAATGGGTGCGCGGCACGGGCTGGAGAAAAGATGGATCAGGTGTGGTACACGAGAATGTGCAGCTGATTTGAATTGTCGATGACTGACACCAGCGGTGTCAAGATCGGCTTCTGTGGAGGCTCATTAAGGACATTACTGGGCAGTTTTAGGAAGTCGCCTTTCAATAAAGGAGGGCAGAAAAGGGACGCTCACAACAACAAACGAAGCACCGGGTGGCTAAAGCGCAAGTTGGCGCAGTGCGGGGCACAGCTGGTGCATTTGCCAGTCATCTCGACCAACCCAAAGTACCTGAGTCTGTCGCGTGACCTCCTGCCAGTGAGCTTTCCTTACTTCACATGGCCTCAAGGTACACCTAGTCTGGCACAAGCACCGTGCTGACGTCACCACCACTTGGTGGATATTCGCGGCTGTTGGTGTGCGTGCACATACATACATAGTGGCACGCTGTACAGATGGCGTGGAGGACTGGCGGGCAGGAGCGTGGGCTGGCGGTGGAGCGTGGGCTGGCGGTGGAGCGTGGGCTGATGGTGGAGCGTGGGCTGATGGTGGAGCGCGGGTTGATGGGAGCGCGGGCTGGTGGTGGAGCGCGGGCTGGTGGTGGAGCGCGGGCTGGTGGTGGAGCGTGGGCTGGTGGATGAGCGTGGGCTGGTGGATGAGTGCGGTTTGATGAAGCGTGGGCTGGTGGTGGAGCGTGGGCTGGTGGATGAGTGCGGGTTGATGAAGCATGGGCTGGTGAAGGAGCGCGGACTCGCTGCGTGACAATTGTTAGCGTGGCGCCACTTCCCGTTCTCACCTGCTCGTTCTGCTGGTTCTCCTGCATGGAGGCCGCCAGCGGAAGCCCGTCCGCCACCCGCGCTATCATCGTCATCGCCACCATGGCTGCGGAGGAGACGCAGGCGGGACTCTCGCGGGGAGAGACGCGAGGAGAGAGTACGGCCTGCGGGTGACGTGGCCCTGCGACCCCTGACCCGTGACGTCACCGCTCCGGCACACGTGTCGAAAACAGCTGATGGCCGGTTCGAAGCGCCAGAATCGATTCCCGATTCACTCGCGCAACGATTGCTCGTGATGATTCCAATGATTGAGGGGAGTCAGAATTGATTACTCATCTAGGAAATTATGGAATAGATTCCCAATCTACCCCACCGAAACAAACTAACTTCTGCATTGTAGAATATTTTATTATCGTTTTAATTGTTGTATTAATACAGCACGAACAATGCACGAACGACTACGCGATGAAAACGAACCCATGTACAGAAGAATAAACATGTAAATGACGGATCTGAATACTTTCGTAATACCTGAATGTTAAACCATTCAGATACATATAAATACTGTACTGCATACTAAAAAATAACAGCAAAAATATGAAAATAACCTATAAATAATCACAATAAAAATCTAATTTATAAATTCCAACCCATGAATAATCACAATTCATACCTATCACCGTTCATTAAAATGAGTTTACTTTATGAATAAAAAAACGATTCTCTTTTATAATTCAAGGTTTGGAATCAATGACGTGGCTGGATTCTGCTCGATTCAGGCCAACACGAGAATCAATTTCGAAACTCGCCTTAAACGGGGGCTCTCAGGAATCGATTCGAGTGGGAAGGACTCAAGCACAAACCGCGTAAACCGACAGCCTTGTCCACACCACCAGCTTCAGCAGAACTAAAAGTGTCTGTGTGCATGTGTGGGGGCTACTGCCCCCCGATTCCTCTCTGTGAGACATAACTCTCAGCTGGCACCTTGGTCACCTTGTTCATTCAAACACCCTCCGCATGCCTTCCCTCAAACATTGGTAATAACTACCCGCACGCTACTGTTCAACTCCGTGCACGCTCTAAAAACGGCATGGCAGCTGGGAGTCGGAGGTCAGAGGGCAGTGGCGTTGCTCGCACACGCGCGGCTGCCGTGAGCGGGTGATAACGCTCGTTTAAAGAGACCGTGGAACAGGTGTTTACGGTGGGTGTGAGCCCTCACGCAGCACGAGGCTCCACAGCGACAGAACGGAGCGGGCACCCGCGAAAACACCGACCACCCACGTTACGAGCGTACGTACACACAGCACCACGCGCTTTCACACGCTCGTCGAAACCACACGAGGCTGCGATTAGTTATTAATGATTTATTACCGGCCGACTGTGATTCACTGTTGGGTCAGTAGGGATCGGCAAGACAGGCCTACACTATCGCCCGAGGGTCTGTATAGGCTTTGAGCGGTTTTGGTTTCTCTAGCCTCAATCCTAATACTCTCTTTTTTCTTACTCACAGTTTCGATGCGTACGGCGCTCCGGTGGTCTCGTCCTCTCTGCACACTTCGATGCGTCGCACGGACGTTCGAGTGGCCGAACTGGGGACCGTCCCGGGCGCTGACCTCAGGAGCATGACCCTTTCTACCTTTCTGCGCCCCCCTTTTATGGCTAACCCACATCAAAGAAAGCTGCCGCTGAGGGTCTTCTCGGCCAATCAGATCGCTGTGCTTGCTCAGCCGTTACTCGCGCTCTACATCGCCGTCCGCCGCCCGGTTTCCATAACAAAGGGCCCGCCACTGGTTGCGGCGCGGGCGGCGGTCCACGAGCACATTTGCTATGCTAATCAGCCGCCCACCCTGCTTTCTCTCTTCGTTCGTGGCTGCGTCCCCCTGCCTGCCTGCCGATTCGTGTGTGGGGGTGCATTTTAACCGTGGTGGCTGGATAGCCCCCGCCGTGACCATGTAATCTCAACCCAGGTCACAGCGCCGCGGTGCGAATTAGCATCGGGGGAGATCGCCCAATTCCCTGGCCGCAGGAAACCGTGAAGATTATCCCTATGAGGGCTTTCAGGTGAAAACCTGTCGGCCAGGTGACCTCCCCTCGGAGCTCTATGGGGGGGAAATGTGTGAGGGTGTGTTTATGTGGGTGGCGGTGAGGGGAAAGCAGGGTCGGCCCCGTCGCTTGGTGGTGGCGAGGTCGTAGATGGGGCCCCCGCCGAGCGGCTTCGCGGCGGCGGCATCACAGACCTCCCCTCGGAGCTCTATGGAGGGGAAATGTGTGAGGGTGTGTTTATGTGGGGGGTGGTGAGGGGGAAGCGGGGTCGACCCCGTCGCTTAGTGGTGGCGAGGTCGTAGATGGGGCGCCCGCCGAGCGGCTTCGCGGCGGCGGCATTACACATGCGTGCGCCATCCATGTTGTTTAGACCACCAGCTTTCTCACTCTATCTGTAGTACGCAACTAGAGATAATTGTTCCACGTCGTTGTGGAGAATACAATCAGCAATATTTGGCCAATACGAGTTTACGTTGAAAGTTGAGTATATTGCATACCTGTCAACGCCTTATCAGTGACTTCCTTAGAACAAACCAATTCAGACGTTATTGTTCACCAGGTTCCCTTATAAATCTCAAAGTTCATCCTACAAAGTCCAATCACAAGAGAGAAACACATATAGACAAAAAATGTTGCCGTATTGAAACGGTTGTATGCCGTATGGACCTGAAAACTAAATTTCCCTGTACAAGAACATTGGTAAACCGTATGAGTTGACATATATGATATTGTCACTCCAAGACAGTGAGGAAAGTGGAAACAAATGACGAAATCTGCCCATGGATAGTTACGATGATTTAAGCAGGTGTGGGGGCTGACGCCCACCTCCCCCCTCCCCCCTCCCCGCGAGAGCTTCTCGCCGGGCCACCGCCGATCGGGTGAACGCCCCCCCCCCCCCCGCGCCAGCAACCTCTTGGAGAGACATGTCTCACGGCTGGTTCACCACCGCCCTGGGATTATTACGCGTGCGCCCCTATGGGCACTCTTCACTCCACAACACGCACGTCCGCACTCGCGGCGTTCCACCTGCCCGCGCTGATTGCGCAATATACGTGTGTGTGTGTATCCGAGCTCTCCCACGGGTGGTGACTGATTAACCCGCTGGCAGCCACAGGCTCGGCTCTGCCGCTGTTCGGATATTAATTAATTAATCTGCACTCACGCGATACCCACCCACTGATTTTTCTCTGCGCGATACACGCGCGTGTCTCTCCGTTAATACTGCGGTTCTCGCACGTACACGCGCTGGCGTGGGCGATCGTTTATATTTTAATATGCGCGCACATCATACACACACTGATTTATATCACCCACACACACCAATTTATATCACCCACGCCCACCGATTTGTATCACCCACATACCGCAGTGCGCCAATCGCTGTTCCACCACTCTTCACACACACACGTACAACGCGTCAACCATCAATCTGTACTAAGGTTTTATTCTCGGCGCGAATAGTGAACCCCTGTTTATGGCTCCTAGCGAACACCCTACAGGTAGCACCTAGCCTCTTATTTCCCACCCTTCATGATGTGCGACTATCTCAGGCTAAGTCGAACGAGCGAACTGGACTGAATCGACCAACTGAACGATCACTCACCTCGCAGACACACTCACGGCGTCACACGGGCACGGTGGGAGTTGGGGAGGACGCTGGACAGCGAATACTCTGTCTGGTAGACGGTTCGCAGCTACACCCGGCAGGCGTCACGCGGATGCTGCGAGCGGCTTAGATTCTCGACGGTCGGAGGAGAACTCTGATTCAAATTCGCTCTCTCCCTTATCGCTCTTATCCTCTCAGAGCCCGTTAAACCCCCGGGTGACATGATGTCATCCTGCTGAGTTTTGAACGCTCTGGCCGTTACGGGGGGCATCACGACATCCTCCGCCCCTCTTCTCCCCCTTTCCATTGTCCCCGTATCTGCATTCCTCATCTCTGATTCACCGGTAATTTCCTGTGTCTCTCTCTTAAATCCCTCATCCTAGGGCACCCAGGGATTTTCCCCCACCCCACTGTTTGCACTGCCCGTAGAGTGTTTTCCTTCAAGGCCCTAGGTTTCGTGTTGTGTATGCTTCATCACGGCCAGCCTGTAAAGCTCTATGCACCCCTACGACTTTTTTTAGGGGGGGCGCCATGTAATCCGGCCTGGGGGAGGGGGCCGGCCAATCTCCTCGCAATGAGAAACTGGGGGACATCTCTACTAGGGGCCCTTCGGATGAAAACCTGTGGTGCCAAGCACCCCCCCCCCCCCATCGAGACCCTACGTGGGTGCGTGTGTTTAGTGCGGGTGTGCGTGCGTGCGTTCGTGTGGAGGGGTGTGAGGGGATGGCGGCGCCGGCGGAGTTGCTCCGTGCAAGACTGGCCGAGATCAACCATGGGTGTTGTGTCTCGTAGAGAGAAGGGACAATGTGTTGTTAAGAGCTGAGTTCGGCATGAACCGACAGAGTATCGCTGAAGTTGTATTCTACATTTATCCTGATGTTTTGAGTCGCTTGCAGAATCGAGTATTGCGAAAAGTTGTATTGCAACTCCTATGACTAATTGGGCATGGGACGCAAGCGTAGGATTGATCACCCTGTCGCTGACTGCCTTTGGGGAGGGTGTATAGTGTGAAAGGCCGAAACACCCTAGGAACCAAAGGTACACTACTGATGATGCGCTCCCCAAATTTCACCAGGCTCACTGTTCATGAACTCTTGGAAGTGCTTGCACAAAGGATAGTAACATCTCATCCTGTGTTCTTGGAATCTAAACTATCAGAGTTGTGTAAGAGGTGTGCTAATATAAGCATGAAAGTTGAGCAACGACAAGGCGAAGCTCTGAAGTAAGGGTGGAGAGCAGTGGAAAGAGCCTGAGCCAGCGCAGCCCTGAAGTGAGGGCGGGAGAGGCACCAGCGGGTGACCGTGTGAAGCTGGCAGCTGCACGATAAAGGAGAGAGCATGGAGAAAGCAAGGAGAGAGAACGGAGCAGTGGAAAGAGCCTGAGCCAGCGCAGCCCTGAAGTGAGGGCGGGAGAGGCACCAGCGGGTGCCCTGTGAAGCTGGCAGCTGCACGCCAAGGGCGAGAGCACGGAGAGAGCAAGGGGAGAGCACGGAGCAGTGGATAGAGCCTGGCCAGCCGCCCGTGAGGAAGAGGAGAGCACCGGCGAGAGCGCCGTGGGTTCGACCC